GTGACTCAGCTCACATCTGCCTTCCCGCCTTCCCTGTTCCGGGTACATGACCTAACTATGGCTTTGTTCAAACCGCCCAATCAGATCCCTGTAACTATGCTTCTCGCTTCTGTAATCGTGCTTCTTGCTCCCGAGCCCTATAAAAACCCGTCACCCCAACCGAGAGGCGCACAAAGTCCCCTGAATGACTTTCCGCCCCGGGTACCTGAGTATCCAATAAAGCCTCTTGCTGTTTGCATCCGAACGCCTGGACTCGTTGATCCTTGGGCAGGGGTCTCTCAGACGGAAGATACCCTCCGGGGATCTTTCATTTGGAGGTCCCACCGAGATCTGAGACCCCCCCACCCAGGGACCACCGACCCACCTTCGGGAGGTAAGCTGGCCAGCCATCTTCTCTGTTGTATGTATCTGTTTTGTCTGTTGTGTGCTTATGTGTCTGTTCTGTTTGCAATCTGAGACTTGATCAAGTCATCTGAATCAGGCGGAAAGTAAGAAGGGGTTGACGGACCTGGTCTTCTGTTCCGCTAGCCCGGGGAGACATCCCAGGGTGAGAGGGTTTGAGTGGGTTCGAGTCCCACCGGCTCTCATCTAAGAGGGTCTACTGTCATGGGTTCGAGTCCCACCGACTCTCATCTGAGCGGGAGCCAATCTTTGGCTCCCCATCTGTTTGAAAGTACGAGCCAGCTCGGACTTTTCGGGGCCTCGCTCCTGTTCGAAGGCTACGTGTCCCATCTAGAGGACGGAGGAACCAGACCTCCTCCACAGTCTCCATCTGAATTTTTACTTTCGGTTTTGCGCCGATCTCGTGCCGCGCGGCTTGTATCGTGTTCTGTCTGTCTAATTGTGGTAGTAAGTGTGATAAGTGCTTTCTATCTATCTGAAAATATGGGACAAACTGTCACTACCCCCAAAAGTTTAACTTTACAGCACTTCAAGGAAGTCCGTAACATCGCCCATAATCTCTCAGTGGAAGTGAGAAAAGGAAAATGGGACACCTTCTGTTCATCTGAGTGGCCAACCCTTGACGTGGGCTGGCCACAAGATGGCACCTTTAACCTAGAAGTTATTTTGCAGGTGAAAGCTAAAGTCATGGACCCTGGACCCCATGGACATCCTGACCAAGTTCCCTATATCATCACGTGGGAATCTCTGGTCAAGGATCCCCCACCATGGGTAAAGCCTTTCCTTCCCCCTTGCCCAAAAGCCACACCGTCCGCTCCCTCCCTTCCTCCCCCACTGATTCCGACCCCGGCTAACTCTGCCCTTTACCCAGCCCTCACAAAATCGGTACCGGCAGAGACTTCCGAGCGTAAAAAGACACCTCCGGTGCTGCCTGCAGATGATGGCCCCCTTCTGGACCTTCTAACTGAACAACCACCCCCTTACAGGGGCCCAGGCCCCGCTCCTGGACAACAGGGAGGGGCCGCCGGGCAGGAGTCACCAGAAGAACCCACCTCATCACTGGAAGAACCTGCCTCGTCTCCAGTGGCAGGGCGGTTGCGGGGGCGTCGGGAGGTCCCTTCCGGTCCTTCCTCTCAGGCTCTTCCGTTGCGGATGGGGCCTGACCGCCAACTCCAATACTGGCCCTTTTCCACCTCTGACTTATATAATTGGAAGAATAATAACCCCCCTTTCTCAAAGGACCCGTCCAGGTTAACGGCCCTCATTGAATCCATTCTAGTGACCCACCAGCCCACCTGGGATGATTGCCAGCAGCTGCTCCAGACGCTGCTGACCACTGAGGAAAAACAACGAGTCATCTTGGAGGCCCGCAAAAATGTTCCGGGTGATAACGGGCTGCCTACCCAACTGCCCGACCGGATTGATGCTGCTGTCCTCCTGGAACGACCCAACTGGGATTTCTCCACAGAGCGCGGTAGGGAACACCTACGTCTTTATTGCCAGTTGCTCTTAGCGGGTCTCCGAGGGGCTGCAAGACGCCCTACCAATTTGGCCCAGGTTAAGTTAGTAACTCAAAAGCCAGAGGAATCCCCCTCTGCTTTCCTGGAGCGACTTAAGGAGGCATACCGTATGTACACTCCGTATGACCCAGAGAGCCCAGATCAGGCAACCAACGTGGCCATGTCCTTCATTTGGCAGTCTGCCCCAGATATCAGAAAAAAGTTAGAAAGATTAGAAAACTTAAGAGAGAGTTCAGTACAGGACTTGTTAAAAGAGGCAGAGCGGATTTTTAACAAGAGAGAAACGCAGGAAGAGAGAGATGAGAGGCTGAAAAAGGAAGCAGAGGAAAGAGAAAATGTTAGAGAGCGTAGGAGAAATAGAGAATTCAGCAAGTTGTTGGCCACCATAGTGACAGGCCAGAGACAGAATAGACAGGACCTGGGAGATCGTGGAAGCCGCCCAATCCCAATAGATAAAGACCAATGTGCCTACTGCAAGGAGAAGGGTCACTGGGCCCGCAATTGCCCAAATAGACCAAGGGGGCCACGCCGTAAGGCTCGGCCTCAAACCAATCTACTCAACCTTGAAGATTAGGGGAGTCAGGGTCAGGAGCCCCCCCCCCCCAACCCAGGATAACCCTCAACGTGGGGGGCCAACCTGTCACCTTCCTGGTGGATACTGGAGCTCAACACTCAGTGCTCACCACATCTCCAGGACCCCTGTCTGACAGATCAGCGTGGGTCCAGGGGGCTACTGGAGGAAAAAGGTGCCGCTGGACAACCGAAAGAAAGGTACTACTCTCCACCGGTAAAGTGACTCATTCTTTTCTGCATGTACCCGATTGCCCTTACCCGCTGCTTGGGAGAGATCTATTAACCAAGCTCAAAGCGCAGATTCATTTTGAGGGGACTAGAGCCCATATTACGGGGCCACAGGGACAGCCGTTACATGTACTAACCTTAAACCTGGAAGATGAATACCGGCTATATGAGCTTGAGGGGCCTCTGGTTGAAAACATATCTGACTGGTTGAGCAACTTCCCATCTGCCTGGGCAGAAACGGGAGGAATGGGGCTGGCCACCCAACAGCCCCCCCTAATTATTCCCCTCAAAGCAACCGCAACTCCAGTTTCCATCAAACAATACCCTATGTCTCAAGAGGCCTACCGAGGAATTCAGCCCCACATTAAAAGACTCCTAGGGAATCCTGACCCCCTGTCAGTCTCCCTGGAATACACCCCTCCTTCCAGTCAAAAAGCCTGGCATGGGCGATTATCGCCCCGTGCAAGATCTAAGAGAGGTCAACAAAAGGGTAGAAGATATACATCCAACAGTCCCTAACCCATACAATTTGCTGACTGGAGTACCGCCAACATATACTTGGTATACGGTCTTAGACCTCAAGGATGCATTCTTTTGTTTAAGGCTTCATCCACAGAGCCAGCCTATTTTTGCCTTCGAATGGAGGGACCCAGAGTTGGGACTATCGGGGCAACTCACCTGGACTAGGCTCCCCCAGGGGTTCAAAAACAGCCCCACCTTATTTGATGAGGCGTTGCACCGGGATCTGGCCGACTTTAGGGTTCGTCACCCTGCTTTAATCCTCCTTCAATATGTGGATGATCTCCTCCTGGCTGCAGAAACTGAAAAAAATTGTAGGGAGAGAACGAAGGCCCTCCTGGTCACCCTGGGAACTCTAGGATATCGGGCCTCGGCTAGAAAGGCCCAAATATGTCAAAAGCAGGTTACGTACCTAGGCTACCAGATCAGAGATGGACAAAGATGGTTAACGGAAGCACGAAAACAGACTATCCTGAGTATTCCAGTGCCTAAGAGCTCTAGACAGTTGAGGGAGTTCTTGGGGACGACGGGGTTCTGCCGGATCTGGATCCCAGGGTTCGCAGAGATGGCTGCACCGCTCTACTCACTTACAAAACCAGGTACCCTCTTTACCTGGGGGAATGAGCAACAAGGAGCCTTTATGGCTATCAAAAAGGCCTTATTAACTTCCCCCGCATTGGGACTTCCTGATTTAAATAAGCCCTTTGAGCTATTTGTTGATGAAAAGCAAGGCTATGCTAAAGGAGTACTGACCCAAAGACTGGGACCCTGGAGGCGCCCAATTGCCTACCTGTCTAAGAAACTTGACCTGGTGGTTACGGGATGGCCTCCCTGTTTGAGAATGGTCACAGCAATTGCCCTCCTAACTAAGGACTCTAGTAAACTAACTTTGGGACAACCGATAACAGTTCTGGCCCCTCATGCAGTGGAAGCCCTGGTTAAACAACCTCCGGGTCGATGGCTCTCGAATACCCGTATGACCCACTACCAGACCCTATTGTTGGACGCTGACCGCGTACACTTTGGTCCCGTGGTAGCCCTCAATCCGGCGTCACTACTCCCCCTATCGGAGGATCCAGAAACTCATGACTGTCTCCAGATACTTGCGGAGGTACACGGCACTCGGCCTGACCTGACCAATCAGCCCCTCCCCGATGCTGACTTCACCTGGTACACCAATGGGAGTAGCTTCCTAGATAACGGAGAACGAAGAGCAGGGGCTGCGGTCACCACTGAGACTGAGGTAATTTGGGCTGAGGCCCTACCACCTGGTACTTCGTCACAACGGGCCGAGCTCATCGCCCTAACTCAGGCTCTCCGGATGGCAAAAGGTAAGAAGCTCAATGTCTATACTGATAGCCGCTATGCCTTTGCCACTGCTCACATTCATGGGGAAATATACCGGAGAAGGGGACTATTAACTTCAGAAGGAAAAGAGATCAAGAACAAGACTGAAATATTAGCCTTGCTTGAGGCTCTATTTCTGCCTTTAAAACTGAGCATCATTCATTGTCCGGGTCATCAAAAGGGGAACAGCCCCGAGGCTCGAGGCAACCACCTGGCAGATGATGCTGCCAAAAAGGTAGCTCAACAAAAAGACTTTGCAATTTCTCAGGCCCTGACCCTACAGAAAACAAAGCAAGGGTCTGTTCTTCAGTATAGTCAGGAAGACCAAAATTTACTAAAAGAAATGGGGGCCACCTATCAACCCGAAACTCAAAAGTGGATATTCAAAGGAAAACCAGTGTGGCCCCAACGTATGACCTATTACTTGATTGACCAACTTCATAAGCTAACCCACCTGAGTCACAAAAAGATGAAAACCCTCCTTGAAAGAGAGGAGGACACCCACCATCTGTTGGGAAAGGACAAAATTTTACAACAAGTGGCTGAGAGGTGCACGGCGTGTGCATGAGTAAATGCTGGACATAATAAGGTGGGTTCCGGGGTCAGAGTGCGAGGGCACCGACCCGGGACTCATTGGGAGATTGATTTCACAGAAGTCAAGCCTGGATTGTATGGATACCGCTATTTGTTGGTGTTCGTGGACACTTTCTCTGGATGGGTAGAGGCTTACCCTACCAAACATGAAACTGCCAAAGTCGTCACCAAAAAGCTGTTGGAAGAAATCTTTCCCAGGTATGGTATGCCACAGGCATTGGGCTCCGACAACAGCCCTGCATTCGTCTCCCGGGTAAGTCAGTTGGTGGCCACATTACTGGGGATTGATTGGAAATTACACTGTTCATACTGCCCCCAAAGTTCAGGACAGGTAGAGCGCATGAATAGAACTATTAAGGAGACTTTAACTAAATTGACGCTTGCAACTGGCGAGAGAGACTCGGTGACCCTTCTTCCCTTAGCGCTATATCGGGCCCGGAACACACCTGGCCCTCATGGACTCACTCCCTTTGAAGTCCTGTATGGTGCCCCTCCTCCAGCCGCCCATTTCCTAGACTCTGACATAGCTATCTTTGCTAATACCCCTTCTCTCCAAGCTCATCTGCAGGCGCTCCAAATTGTACAACAGGAAGTGTGGAAACCTCTGGCGGCTGCATACCGGGAACAACTAAACCAACCTGTGGTACCACATCAATTCCAGATCGGGGACGTGGTCTGGGTGGGACGACATCAGGTCAAGAACTTGGAACCACATTGGAAGGGACCATACACTGTACTGCTGACGACACCCACAGCCCTAAAGGTAGACGGCATCGCCGCCTGGGTCCACGCCTCCCACGTCAAAGCCGCCGTCCCCGAAGACCAGCTCGACAACCCGGACTTGAAAGCCAGATGGAAACTTCACCGCACTCAAAATCCACTAAAGATAAGATTGACTCGTAGGGAGCCCTAATAACCTTGTGTCTCACTTTAGGTCTGAAAATAGCCTATGCGTCCCCACATCAGATTTACAACTATACCTGGATCATTAAAAATCAGGTGGAGGATATAGTTAACTCCAGCTCCCAACTTGGGACCTCGCCACCTTGGCCTACCCTGGAGGTTGACCTTTGCGCCCTTGCCCTTGGGGCCCACCCCGATTGGGGAACGGCTGAGGTCCTTTACAGCCCGGGATCAGCCGCCCCCCAGCTACCGGCACGCTGCCCTACAGTCCCCGGCTGCCGCAATGATATCGAAAGAGCGGACTTACATGGCCAGTTAGGAGTTTATGTTTGCCCTGGAGCTCATAGGAGCAAGAGTCTTAATTATAAATGTGGATGGGCTGATGATTATTTCTGCGCCTCCTGGGGTTGTGAAACCACGGGGGATACTTACTGGCAACCATCCTCCAGCTGGGATTACATAGTTGTTAAGAGAAAGGACCGTGAGCCTGGTGCAACCCCCAATCACATCCTGGACCAGTTAAGAACATGGTGTAAGGGCCAGGGAAACACGCTAGGGTGGTGCAATCCCTTAAGCATTACCTTTACCGAGCGTGGAAAGCAAGTAGATTGGGTTGGCCGAGGCTTCCAATGGGGCCTTAGGCTCTACATGGAAGGCAGAGACATGGGGCTCACCTTCCGGATTCAACTAAAAAAAAAACACACCCGGTCACCAGGTCTGTGGGCCCCAACCCGGTCATATCAGATCAGAGGAGGCCTTCTCAACCAAGACTTCAACCCCTATGTCCAGTAACCCCAAATGCTTCTGTTTCTTCTCCTGGCCCAACTACCTCGGGCCCCACTATACAACCTTGGAGGCCTGGGTCAGGAGATAGACTCCTTAATCTGGTGACAGGAGCCTTTCAGGTACTAAATCACTCTGATCCCGACAGGACCCAAGAATGTTGGTTATGCCTGGTTTCGACTCCACCCTATTACGTAGGATTGGCCATAATGGGTGATTTCTCTAACCATACTAGTCCTCCAGTAAACTGCTACCCCTCTGCCCAACATAAACTAACTCTGTCTGAGGTGTCAGGACAGGGACTTTGTGTTGGAACAATACCTGCTGCTTATCAACAACTTTGTAATTCTACTACCAGTGTTAACCCAGGAGATTACTACCTGTCGGGTCCAAATGGTACCTTTTGGGCATGCAATGCCGGCCTAACCCCCTGTATATCGGCTATAGGCTGGAATGCTGGTTCTGACTTTTGTGTCCTCACTGAGTTATGGCCTAAAATAGTATATCATGAACCAGACTATGTTTACAGACACTATGAAAAGAGGATTCGGTATCGCAGGGAACCCGTGTCTTTGACTCTGGCAATAATGCTGGGGGGACTAACAGTCAGAGGCATTGCCGCTGGAATTGGGACTGGAGCCACCGCTTTAACAGCAACCACTCAATTCCAACAACTACAACAGGCTATGCATACCGACTTACAGGCCTTAGAAGAATCAGTAAGTGCTCTAGAAAAATCCTTAACCTCTCTGTCAGAGGCAGTTCTACAGAACAGAAGGGGGCTAGATATCCTCTTCCTACAAGGAGGATTATGTGCAGCCCTAAAGGAAGAATGTTGCTTCTATGCTGACCACACAGGCGTAGTTAGAGACAATATGGCCAAGCTCAGGGAAAGACTCAACCAGAGACAAAGCCTCTTCACAGAGGGACAGAGCTGGTACGAAAAATGGTTCAATAGATCCCCCTGGTTTACAACCCTCGTTTCCTCTCTCATGGGCCCCTTAATCATAATCCTCTTGATCTTGTTATTCGGGCCTTGTATTCTAAATCGGCTGATCCAGTTCATAAAAGACCGGCTCTCTGTCATACAAGCGTTGGTTCTAACCCAACAGTATCATCAGCTCAAACAACAGGAGACCGAAGTTGACTCCCCCTAGGCCCGAGAATGAAGGATTCCATTCTAAGCTAGAAGAAAAATGGGGGGATGAAAGAATAAAGCCCTAGCATAATGCTGGCAACACTATTTTGCAAGACTGGAGCAGTGCAGGGTCAGAGGCAAGACAGGACAGGTGCCCAACAGCAGGATATCTGCGGTCGGGCGCCTGAAACACTCTGGGCACCCAAGATAAGAACCGGGTACGTGACTCAGCTCACATCTGCCTTCCCACCTTCCCTGTTCTGGGTATGTGACTCAGCTCACATCTGCCTTCCCGCCTTCCCTGTTCCGGGTACA